TATATATATATATATATGTCTCTCTCTCTCTCTCTATATATATATATATTCTCGATATCTAACGCCCTTCCTCCTTCTCCACCTCCACTTTAATTTTCCTCCCTCCCTCCCTCCCTCCCTCCCTCCCCACCTCCAGGTCCAGTCCCCGCTGGAGGAACAAGTGCACGTGATGGGCGAGGCCCAGTCGGACAAGGAAGCTTTCCATGCTGAGAATCTGAGTGGAGCAAAAGGTGGAAAAGGGGCGGGAGGAGGGCGAGGAAGGAGGGGACATAGGGAGGGAGGGAGGAGAAGGTGAGGAAGGGGGGAAGCAAGAGCAAAAGGAAAGGGCTGAGGATGATAAAGCCATCATAAGGCAAAGGAAGAAGCCATGCGGTGCCCTTCCTCCTACAACGTGCCTTTCCTCCTACAACGTGCCTTTCCTCCTACAACGTGCCCTTCCTCTCCGCCTGCCCTTCCTCCCCGTCTTCCCTCCCTACCTCCTCTGACGCCTGCACGTGCTCGAATTCGGGCGCTCTCTCCGGCTCACTTCCCCTATAGTGCATCTTCAACGTGGGAATCCACGAGGCGCCCAAATTCTGTCGCGCACAAGGGTGCTCCACGTGCCCGTAGGGAGGGAAGTTGGTATACTCAGGCGAAGCGAAAGTGCGGCTCCCAGTGTAGCCTGACGAGTAATCTCCCAGGCCAGGCGGGGCACTGGGGGTGAGAATCAAGGTGCAAAACGGCGAGGAATAAGGAGGGAGGGAAGGAGGAAGGAAGGGTGGGTATGTGTGTATGTGTGTGGTAGAGCAATGGGACAAGCTAGAGAGGAAAAAGATCTCGGGCATCCTCCTTCCTCCCTTCCTTCGCGCCAAAATCCAGAGCACGCAACTGACGCCCGCAACACCCTCCGTCCTCCCGCGGGGACTCACGTCAAGCTGGAGAAGCAGGCAGTGGGGGTGGCAGGGTCGGAGGCGGAGAGGGTGGAGGGGGAGGTGGTGTAGCCCGAGAGGGAGAGGAGGGAGGACGGGGAAGCGTGCCGATCCTCCTTCGGAGGCCGTTCCTTGCCTTCCCCTGCCGCCTTCCCGACTGGCCTCTCCT